TATATAAAAAATTAAAAAAAATTTTTTTTCATGTTCACCTGTCATCTTCTGCCGGTCGCTGAGGACTTTTCTCGCGCTGCGGAGGTCGACTGGGCTTTCCAGCGGCGGGAATTTGTTTCGATCGATCGTCCTCCCTAAGTCCAGGTATTCCACGAGGATAACCGGGCCGCTCCGGCGACGGCTTCTTCGTGGAACTCGTTGGAGATTGGGGTACCGGACCCGTGACGGCATCGAATCGGGTGTCATCGACGACATCCCGCGCTACCATGCTAGTCACCTGCTCTTTGTCGATAAATTCCTTCGTTGACTCGGTGACATCTCTCTGAAAAGTACGACAGAAACAAATTATCTACTTCTTCGATCCGATTGATTACAAGTATCTAGAGATATCGGACCAGGGTGGATATCCCATCTTAATACGGTCAATAGTCGCCGTAATTATCATTCTGTCAATAATTACCGATAACGGGTAGCACAAACTACGATGTTCATTATTACGTGGACTATAATGTCAAGCATTATCACGCTTCTGTAAATTAATATCTCTGATACCTAGAATTATGCTATATACATTATGAGTATATATACTTTGTTTTTATTGGACGTGTTATGACCAAGTACTCGCATTGATGTAGTATAAAAATTGTTGGGAAGTGTCAGGAAACGGAGGTGATCAGTTATGCATTCGCTAGCTATACCACTTACGAACTTGGCGCTACTTTGTTCGTAATGGCTTTACAACAACGTTATGCACATTTGCCTAAAGTCAATGTCATAACAATTATTGAAAAAAAAAGCATAGATTTACGATCGTCACGGTATGCAAATCCTTCGCGATAAACGTCTTGACAGCACGTTAACGCAGACTGGAAAGCGTAATAACGACGTGCGGCTTCGTTTTTCCGCGGGCGTTCATTACGGGCTTCAAACGTAGATGCATAATGAGCGTCACGAGCACGAGCGAGATTAGTACAACGCCGGCGGTGCTTATGTTAGTTCGACGGAATGCAAGTAACGCGAGATCGGTGCACATGTGGCTTTTATGCTTACATACAGATCGTGTAACGTCGCTTGCCGAACCATCGAACCGTACTTTTGCGATTCGGTTTCGTCGTCAGCGTAATTCGTCGCTCGTACACGACTTGCAGAAGTAGACCAGAATTAGACAATATTGTGTATGTCGCGATGCAAACGATAATTTATTATACGAAGAAATTTATTATGTCAAAATATGTCTGAAAATTTTTATTTTTCATCCAAATGTAGAGAATTTCAAAGTATCTTTTACTCGTAACTTTCAATTCTTCATTGACAATTTTAAGATTTTAAAATGTGAATTGCGATTCTACATTATCGTATCGCGCTATATTATGCATTCGCTTAAAAATTTCGCGCATCTATTTTCGGTTCGTTGGAGCTGCTCATTATAGTCACGAGCACGCTCGTTCTCTAACTTGACGCAGTAACTCTATAACGAAGCAAATAACGTTTGCTGATACTGTTAGCCAAATCCTTTACTCTCCGTTTTTAACACTCAAGCGTAATTCGCATAAAGCACATCAAATGAAGTTTTGGCATTTAATTAGCGGTTTAAGCAGCTTGGGTCTTTAAGCTGATTGCCCGTCCTCGACGATATCAACGAGCGAGTCGCTCATAATGAAGCTCGTTTACATAATTTTGGCTCCACGAGTTTTTGCGCGACGAGTATAATATTCTCTCTTTAAAAAACTTGTCAAACAAAAAAAAAGATGAACATTTCTCTGCGCCGTTAGTTTTTCATAGAGTAATTAAAAGTCTGACGGGTAGGATTCTCGTCTGAAAGAACTGATGATCGCGAACACGAACTGCGCTTCGTTAATAAAATATCACGTATTTATCGATGCCGTAATACAGGCATTGCTATCTCATAAAATAGTAATACCGATTCGCCGGGGAAACGCGATCACGCATGTTCGCAGATATCACGTCATTCACATCATTGCATCTCGATGCAAGTAGGACACGCTCTCTATAGCTGTTTGCATGTTGAACAATCAAAAACAGTCCGTGTAAACCATATATGATATCGAGATAGATCGTTCCGGTTAACGACGTCACGTGGAGACGGCCAGTATATTCCGCGGAGCATCTTCGTTTAGATTTTAGATGATAAAATCGAAGAGATTCCTGAAGGAATCTTTTGGAAAACTCGAAGATTTTTTGCGGAAGATATATATTCAATATACAGACAAATGTACATACACACACACACATATTCACTCACGAAGATAGATTAAACAATACTCACGGGAAATATATGTGTGAGTGCTAAAGCATTTTATCGATCATCTCGAGACCTCGGAATAAAGTCACGGCTGTGAGAATCGGAACAAACTAGTCTGAGGAAACGAATTGTTCGTGTAATAGGTTACTAATATCTATTTTTAATTCGTTCGTGCAAACGCATCGCAAATTATCGGCGATAAGCCGTCGTTGTATTAACTAGATATTCTTGAGCGAAGCATTCGAGCATTCTAACTATGATGTTGCATGAACTCCGGAGCGTCGATCCCGATACTCCCGCGAAATGCGAGCGTGGGATGAAGTTTTAGATTGTTCCGCGCATCTCCGGTTAAGGAAGTTCACTATCGTTAACAGCGAGAAGTATCCGGCGCTGAGAATCTATAATAAGCAACGTGCACGTTAATCATAAAATTTTACGCGAGACGAGGTTTTAAGAACTTACCTAACTGCGAGAGAATAGAGCGCGGTAAAAAAATATCGAATAACTCGCTTTTATTAAAAAAAAAAAGAAGAAGAAAGGCAAGTTGAGAAAAAAAATGAAAAATATCGAATGGAAAATTTGATTGAAAATTAGTTTCTACTGAAAATCTCAAATAGTGTATTGTAGGAGTACTAATGTTGATAGTAAAGTCCAAAGTATAATTCGCGTGACGTTTATCTTTACGTTCGATATCGACCCGCATTTCTATGAAAACTTTCAGCCCAAGCGACGCGGTCGCTGTATAAAACTCGTTTATGCCGTGATTGTCTATTTCCCGATTACGGAACATCAATACTAAATTATACAGCGTATCAGTATGCGGATGGAATGAATTATCGGAAAACACATGCGATCCTTCCTATCACCGTTATTATTTTTAGCGTTATCTGTCGCTACTATCAATGCTGTAATCGGCGTGATAAGTGACATTAACGTATACGTGTCTCTTTCTCTTTCGGCGTGGCGTCTCTTAACTAAGATTTCTATGGCACTTAAACGAGGCGACCGCGCGATAAGCGAGGCGGAACACGCGTGAAATTCAATTGGTCGTGCATTAAGCGGACTACATTGGACGGTGACATCACTGCCAAATTTGCTGATATCGGATGCAATTATTGTCACTTTGCGCGCGCTCGATTGAACTTGATTGCAGGTGATTACACTTGTGCGTCCGCGGCACACGCCAGAGGTGATCCCGAGGACTCTTATCTGCGGTATGAACAATCTTAAACATTTTTTTCTCCGTATGCATTCTCTTTAATGAATAATAATATAACGATCGAGAGAGTCGGTTAAAGATATCTCCATATCAATAATATCTGACATAATTTATTCAAAGTATAACTTTATCGGGATAATATGATAATATGATAATAATATTATTTTAAATTGATATGACTTTTACAATAATTATGTTAAAATATATGAACGGTTTTCTTAAAGATAAGGAGAGAAAAAGGAAAACGCTTCAATCACATATAAATATCATAGTCCACTTTGTCTTTAATAATAAGTAAAGGTTATCGCTTTGATCTCTCGCGTTAATAATGATGATATTACTGGAATGGAGCGCGTAATAAGATAATGCAAAATGATTATAATAATATGTATAATGATTGAGGCACGATAGGTTTCGTGCGTGCTTTCATGTATGAAATATCGATTTTCGCTCAAAGCTTTGTATTAGTTCGACGAATCAGGATTCGCCCGTGCAGAAATTCGAATCAAGAACGCTGTTCATCTCAAACGGTTAAACGAAATGAATTCCCCTCCTTCTCCTACACACTTGACCCTTCTCTGTCCTGCTGCGAATCGCTGTATTACGTCAGATTTATTTTCGACGGCGCCACACACGTGAACATGCTAGCCTTCGCCCGAATGGGAAGTGAAAGTATCGTTCGAACAAGGACTATGTGTGTGTCTCTCGATAAGATTCTTATTATTCTGCTCAACATCTGGCCACTGTCAATTATCGAGATGTTAAATACATCGGCATCAAAGGTTTATATATAAATATATATAATTATTTGACTTATTGTTTCTATACTTCTAGAAACAGATATGAAAAGGGAGAGAGAGTTAATGTGAATCCGTTTTTTTAAATATTATTCCGGAAAATTATGTGTGAGTCGTATTTTTAAATAACAATTCTCAACTGCGCGGACAGGTAATAAAGAAGCATTTTAATGTCTCACGGTTACTCACCACATCCTTGCGCGCGTCGGTAGTAAATTCAGTGATGACACGCTCGTCTTGCACGGAAGTAAAACTTGAAGACTGATCGATTACGTAAGAGGATCGCTGCACCTCTTCGGACGTGCGCGTGACATCCTCGCGCGTGATATCGGTGATGTCTTCGATATATCGGCTTTCGGTGACATCTCGTCGCGATGTCTTCTCATCAGGCTTTTTTCCGGAGATCGGAGTCGACTCCGGTTTCTTATCTGGCGATTTTCTCGGCTTCTCGATCGCTTCTTCGCCTGTTGGTTTCTTTCGCGAGTCTTGCGGTTTTTCGTTCACGAAGGAACCGTCCCACGTAGAGGCGCCTGGCTTCGACGGTCGATACGTTCTATCCAGCGGACTTTTTCGCGGTTCTTCATCTTCAGGCTTCTTGGCATCCTCCGGACGTTGTCGCGGCGACGGTTTAGGCTTCTCGTCGATAGACTGTCTCGGTCTCTCGTGATCGATCGCGTACACTTTATCCTCCGTGCTCTCCTCGATCAAAGTTTTCGATATGTCATATGTCTTTGAATCGGTGACAAAAGTTTGTTCGACAGTGGTAGAGCTCGTAGAATAATCGGCAACACTTGTTACGTCCCTCGAAGTATCGAGTTTCGTGACAGATGTTCTATAATCAGTGACGTCACTCGGTTTTTCTTTAATCGGACTCTGCTTATCCGTAATTTCGAGAGGCTCTTTCGCTACCTTCCTATCTTTCGGTTTCTCTTTCGGTTTCTCGTATACGAAAGATCCGTCCCAAGTGGAGGCGCCTTGCTTGGACGGTCGATACGTTCTATCCGTAGGACTCTTCCGCGGTTCTTCATCTCCAGGCTTCTTGGCATCCTCCGGACGCTGTCGCGGCGACGGTTTAGGCTTCTCGTCAACAGGCTGTCTTGGTCTTTCGTAATCGATCGCGTGCACTTTATCTTCCTCGATGAAAGTTTTCGATATGTCATATGTCTTTGATTCGGTCTTTGAATCAGAAACGAAGGTTTGTTCGACGGTGGTAGAGCTCGTAGAATAATCGGCAATGCTCGTTGTATCCTTCGATGTATCTAATATTGTAACTGTTTTGCGATCGGTAACGTCGACCGGTTTTTCTTTAGTCGGACTACGTTTATCAATTCCAATATCTTTCGGTATCTTTCTCTTCTCCTCTGATTTCTCGTACACGAACGATCCATCCCACGTCGACGAGCCTGGTTTCGTAGGTCGATAACTTCTGTCGTCCGTACGAGGCTCCTTCTTCTTCTCGGGACTTTTAACAGTACTTTTCTTAACGTCGACGATTACATCATCAGCAGACGGCCTCTTCGTCGGCCTTTCTTGAATAGTAGTCACCGTTTTCTGCGTCGTTACTGGTTGATTATCGCGAATGATGACAGTTTCGACGGAAGTCGTCGAGAAATCGAGATTCGACGAATCCGTGTAACTCCCTGTGTAAATCTCTGACGTGCTAGATATGTCCTGTGTGACGTTTCGAAGATCGACGTTAGTCTCGCTGACATGTTTCTTCGACGTAGCCACGGATGTCTCTTTGCTGTCAACTGGACGAGATTTTTCCGATGGTCTGCCGTCAGTGGATTCTCTACTAGGTGGTCGTTTCATCTCTTGCGACTTTTCCAGCACGAAGGTTCCGTCCCACGTGGACGATCCGGGCTTGGTACTTCGTAGATCTCTCTCCTTGGGCGTCTTCTCAGGACTTGTAAGACGTGGAGAGGGACTAGGTTGACGTTCCTCGACATTCGAAACTTGGCTTCGAGATGTATCTTTGTCGAATCGGATCGTCATTTCAACAGGACGTCCCTCGTAAACGACTGTCTCGTAAATCGTGGACGTGAGACTGGCATCCTTGACGTCCGAGAAGCTCTGCTGACTCGATGAATGTTCGACGATGTAAGAGGTACTCGTCACATCGGCCTCGTTGATCGAGTTGTCTTCCGTAACATCTCGAATATCGACAGTCTTCACTGTTCGCTTGTCTTCCGGCTTTCGGCGACTATCAGGCGTCTTCGGTCGTTCGTAGACGAAGGTACCGTCCCAGGTGGATTGGCCAGGTTTATAGCAGCGCGAATCAGCGTCTCGTTTCGACTGTCTCTCGAGACTTCCAGGACCACGCATCGTTCTATCTTCAGTAACGTCTTCCTCCAGAATCACCTCGGACACCGATGTAACCTTCTCGACATTCTTCTTGTCGTTGGAGATCGCGTATTCGACGATGTAGGAAGACGAAACTGACTCGGATACGTTCTGTTCTTCGGTGACATCTTGAACGTCCACGGAGTCGTGATGTTTCTCCGTTCGTCGAACGACAGTGACGTCCGTGGGAGAACGTTTTCTCGCATCGTCTTGTCCTGGTTTTTCGTTAACAAATTCACCGTTCCACACAAAGTCATCGGGTCTGGCGATCCTTCGATAAGACGGACTGGATACGCGAGCAGGATATTCTTCCCTGCTCGCATCGTCGACACGAGACGAACTTTCTCTACTTACGTCACGTCGCTCTTCGGAAATGAATCTGGTGCTATCCGTGGCACCTTTTACGACGCGCACGCTCTCGGACGACTCCTTCTCGTACGTACCGTCCACGCTCTTTTCGCGAAAATCTTTTCTCTCGATCGTTTCCGCGACGTTGTCTCCGCGGAATGTTACGGTGTCGGATTCGTTACGTCGTCTTGGCCGCGTCGTAGTTTTCTCCACGACGAAATTCCCGTTCCACGCGGAATCGCCGAGTTTCGAGTAACGAACCGGTCCTTTCGAATGTTTCTCTTTTCCGGCAAAATCTGTCGTGTCCGCGGCGACTTTCTCCGAAGATACGGTATCGCGAAGACGAGTCGTCGCGGACAGTTGACCTTCGTCGATGACCGTTTTCGAATCTCGTATCACGGTCGTGCTCGAGGATGATACTTGATCGATAACCTCCTCGGTGGCGGAGGTCTCTTGAGTGACTTTAACGCTCGTTTCGCTATCCCGCGCGTCACCGTGAACTTTCGAACTCACGGATACCGTTTTGTCGACGACATTCTTACCTCTAGGAGTGGCGGGCTTCTCGTAGACGAACGTGCCGTCCCACGCGGATTGACCGGGCTTGTAACAGCGAGTCGATATATCGACGTTTGAATTCGTCGATTTCGAATCGGCGCCGCGCGCGTTCTTATTAACGGTATCGTCGATACTTTTAATTACTGTCACGTTGGAAGGTGCAATCGTACGCTCGCTGTCAACCTCCCGACTCGATGTGGACACCTCCTTACCGTTGTCATCGATTCTCTCCCCGGTCTCGCGAATTCTCGTTTTATTTGACACTGTCTGGCCGTCTTTCGTTACCGTCTCGCACGTTTCGCTGCTCGCGCGAGTATTCTCGGTCGTTCGTGACGTTTGGATTACAGGAACGTGATCCCTGTTTCTGACGTCCACGACGGTGGATCGACGATGTCCGCTGTGATCCCCGCTCGTCGATAAATTCTCGGTTAATGTACTCGAGGAGATGGATTGTTGAGCCGTCGAGCGAGATTCGCTTTGAGTTTGCATCTGTACGGATTGGTTGATCCGTTCAGACGATTCTCCTCGAACAATACGACTTTCCGAGAGAGATTTCGCATCCTCGCGTGGAATCTCGCGCATCGTCTTCGCTTGCTTAATCGATTGCGTCTGTTCTCCGGCTATAAAGTCCTGAGAACTCTTCCCGGTCTTATAATTGGACTTGCTCTGC